ATTAGTAGGGGTTAGTAGTAGTACGTAAGCCGCACAAGAGGTAGAAAGTGTAAATAACCGAGCACAACTTTCTAAAAAAAACAGTAATATACGTGCGCAGGTGAATGAACGTACAGCAAGGTTAGGATGCGCACTGTCGACAAGAGGTCCTATTAGGATGAGCACATTTGGTCGATTTGCCTTTATATCTTGCAAGAGGGCCAGCAGTGGAGTGGGTTCATGGGAGGAATTGGTGGTGAACGGTCCACAAGCAATCGACACATGAAGATCATGCTCTATGGAGAAAAAAAAGCATTTTGCATGAAAAGAAATATTGTTTTTTAATGTGTAGGATTTCCAATTAAACTAATACAAACGCCTCGAATTTTTAATGGGCAAGTATGGACTCACCAAAAGCCGTCTTATCATAACTGGCAAGAGGAAGAAAAGGGGTCTATAAAGAAGAAAGAAGGGGTCAAGATGGGCGGAGTACATGTTAGTTTCTCTGACTGGATGGGTACTGGGATCAGCGTACTTACCGGAAAGACATCAAACACCGTGAGCGATCGACCAGTGGGATTAGTAGCCCTGAGAACTACTGGTTGCCCGGGGTATAATGAGAAACTGGCCAAGTTGGCCGACGAACTAAGTTCGAGCATGGCGCTGGAGAACTCGCCCCCACCGGCTCTCCTCGCACCAATCAGGCAGGCATTGCTGGGGTGCAAGCGTACAGACGAGGGTTGTGTCTCATCCATGTTTGAGGTGGGGCAAGCAGCTACTCGGCCAGCAACGAAACTAGGAGTTTGAAGACGAGCGTTTGCAGGACGTAACATCTGTTTGTTGGTCTTTGGTGGCAACGGGCCGTTTGTATTAGTGTCCGAGCACTCCTGACTACTACAACAAAAAATAAATTGTAAAGCGGATAGAGCGCTTACTATGCTATGGTTGACGTATAAAGATAGGCAGCCAGTGTACTCGCAAGTCATCGACGATTAAGTGCACTTTAGAAACATTAACAGAGTTTCTATGGTGTCTCCTATACGCAAAATCGGAGCAAAAATCCCCTGAACAACTCTGGGACTCTTACTTCAAAGCTTGTGACTGCTTGCTTTGTAACAAACGAATGGAGAATTTAAAGGGACATAAATCAGTCTTCACCGGAAAACGTACGCCACAGAGGTACCTTCGGTCTCGACGCCTTGCGAGGCACTACGAGCGGCCGAACCAGATGTGATGGCCGCCAGAATACGTTTTACTTGTTTCCAGCACCATGTGTCCAGTACTGAAGAAGATAGAACATAGTCAGCTGAGCACTCAAGCAGAATTAACGAATAAAACTAAACTAAAGTAGGATAAAATACCTTCAGACTTAGCTAGCGGTCGTTGGTACATGAAACGATCGACCGAAGCTGAACTCGAGGAAGACCTGATTTCCTCCAAATCCCAAGTGTATTCCTTTCGGGCCGCAGGCTCGATACGACAATACTGAGAATCTTGTGTTTGCGAGACAGAAATGTTCAAGCGAGATGAATATGAACATATTATTCGGCCCGCTTTTTTCTCTGGAAAGCTGGAGTTGGCAACCACTAAAAAGGATAAATAAAACTTTAAGAACGAAAACGACGACATACCAAAGAAATGTGGGCTAAAATTAAGGCGCTTAAGGAGGTGAGAATAAAATGACTTGTAAGAGACAATAAAATCAGAGGTTAAAAGAAGTCCTGAGATCCAGTTTAAGAGATGCCAAATTACTATCACGCACTTGCTCAGAAAACAGAAATAGAGTTTAAGGTGCAGTCTTTGGTCAGCCAGCGCATCGCGCAGATAGGTCGGAATTAACTAAGTTCATTGAAGTAATTCGTAAATACATTTCGTTTTAAATACCAAAAATACTTCTTGAAATAGTCACGCAAGAACTCACTAGAAATACTGGAGACGGGTGGGATACCTGACGACTTTCTGGGTTTCGCCGATGCCGGAGATGTATTTAGGTTTTCGCATAGTGACACATTGGCGCCAGATATGTAGGAGCTCATTAATTGTGATCTGGTATCGACCTCCTGAGAATGCTGTCTACTGAATAAAAATAAAAAAGACCTACAATTCTCTACGCATTTCTGCAGGAAGGGCATTAACTGTCTTGAGTACTCCAGCATTCGACGATCGCTTAGATTTCGTTAAAATTGCCGAAGTTAGGTTCTAAAACTCAAAAATGAAAGCAGCTAAACCTCTTTTTCAAAAAGCCGAATATCTGCACTCGATATTTCATCTGCAAGATTACGATTCTGGCGGAAAGCAACGTATTTTTCGACTAGAGAAGTGCTCGGGAGATTATAACGGTGAATGAGTTCGACGACTAAAAGACATTAGTAAATTATTCGGCAAACATAGGGAGAGGCATTCATCATTGCTAGCTTTGAGGCCGAAAGCACCCAGATCGTCCTTTAGGTCGTCTTGGATAACGGAATCAAGCGCACTCATTTGGAAAAAAACCAAAATAAAACACTTAAAAAGCGCGCCACGTCGTACGCTGCTTCAGTATTCGTGCGCAGCTCCAGTTGCTAAAATTGTCAGAGGTTATCTAAGTATTCCGGTGCGAACCATTCCGAGGCCCTTCAGCCCAAGACTGAAAGGGTCAACTCTTTGTGTACTAAACAGCATTGACGTCTAAATAGGGTTTGGAGTGTGCAGCAGTAACTGTTAGAAATAGATACTTTCAATTATTGTTTCGAGTGTTTACGTTCAAGTCCACAGAAGCCACAGTGCTGGGACGTTTTCCTACCGAAACTGTGATTATATTATAAGGGAGCAAGGCATAACAGCACCTATCATAAATCAAACAAGGGAACATTTCGAAAGTGAAGAGCATGCATTATGAAACGATCAATGCTTAACTGATAGGACCATAGCTAGGTACTAATGGTCAGAAGACCAAACTACAGATGTAAACCTGGGAAAAGGACAATGCAGGCCATGTCGCGTAAAATTTGAGAGAATCGGTAAAGTTAGGAGGGGAGCGACCTGGTTTCGCGTGAATCAATAACGGCACAGCTAGTGGTATCTCCGTCTTATGCACTTGCGTCTAGAGCAGGAAACTTATTCAGTCGCTTGGACTGTGAACGGCAACTTCAACATTTAACCCCACCTAAATTTGTTTCAAAAAATTGATGAAATTGCTAAAAGTTGGAATCGACTGCACATTTTTCCAAAACCCTAATATCATCACATTCATCCAGGAATAGTCCTGTGTAATTAGCTCACTTTTGCCGGCATTCGCCGGGTATTTGCTTCTATTGGTTAACGTGGCCCAGCCTATATGAGTTGCCCGGTCTTACTGCCACACCCCTGCCGATCCTCACCTTTTTTTAATTTAGGAACGCTGAACATGACTGCCGGTGCACTTATACAGCGGTGTATCCATCAGAGTCGACATCTGAATCGTGAATTTGTCGTACTCGCGGATCACAAGCCTCTTGTTTTCTGTCTGAGGGCTACCCTTGATTGGTACACACCTCGCAAGATTTGTCATCTAGACTTAACCTTTCAGTTTTCTCGTGACGTCCAAAATGGCCACAGTAAGGAAAAGTGGTTTCTGATGCCCCATCACGAATCGAGTTGGACTCCATCGTAACCCAACACATCGACTTCACGCTCATAACCGAAGCTGAACAATCTGAAGAGAAACTTCCCACATTACTTCTTCAGGATGTCCGTCTTCCCGCTGGAGCTGGTACCACCGCTTGTGACCTTTCCAGCGGACACGAACGTCTCTTTTTCCCAGCAGTTGTGCGAAGCTAGTCCATTAACTTCCTTCATAGTCTATACCGCCCTGGATTTTGGATGACAGTGAAAGTGATCACTGGGCGATTCGTCTGGCCCAACATCATCCGGAATGGGTGACTTTTGACCCGATCTTATCTCCCACACCAACGGGCCAAAATTAATCGACATCCCGCATCTCCAATATGCACCCTCGCCACTCCTGACGCGCATTTCAGTCATATTCACATCGACCTGTTAAGTCCTCTCCCGCCTTCTAATGGTTATACTTACTTGCTGATTGGTCGAGAATATGCGAGGCCCAGGTAACTGAATAGAAGAAGTTAAGACGTTCTCTGGGACCAGGAGTGTATTTGTCCGACTTTTTCGATCTCTCCCGGCGAGCTCATTTTCAAGTAATGAAAAAACGTACAGCTCACAGTGTAATTAAGTCGGTTCTGCCGGGATTG